TTGAAATTGGCCAAGTATTTTTTCTGTAATCCATAAGGTGCTGCTGAAGCAAGCAGTTCCCAAGATTACTTTGAACACGGTGGTATTAAGTTGTTTGCTTTCCTCTTTAAAGCTCACTTTGCACTTATGTGGTACATATTTAGGTAAATATAATTATAACTGAATATATATATATATATATATATATATATATATATATATATATATATATATATATATATATATATATATTACAGGGCCTTCGAGAGTGCCAATGGTGCCCAGGTCAAAAATGAATATGACGCCCAAAGAATTAAAAAATTTTAGGTATTGTGTAATCAAACCAAAGAATTAAAAAATTTTAGGTATTGTGAATGTATCAATCTTTTATTTATGATACAGCACATTGCATTTCTGTGTTACTAACTATTGTCTGGATCGAGAAACAATATTAGTTTTAATAACAATAAACGAAAAGTCAATCAACAAAATCTTCAAGAAAGGTAAATAAGGAGCTTTAAAATGAACTTTTTAAGCTTTTCTTGCCACCCAAATGTGGATAACATCATTTTAGCTCACCATTTTAGCCAAATTTTTATCAATTGAAACAATCAAAGGGTCAGTAATGAGATCCTGGCCAATGGTCAAACGGAAAGAGTTTTTACTAAAAAAATTTTTGAATTAAAAAAAAAAAGTTATCAATTTAAAAGTACCCCCTTCACATTCTTTGATACAAAGAGATACTTTAAATTATTGTGCAGTTGTTGAAGAAATCCAAGATGGTTTCTACTTCACTATCATAGTCAATGGTACCCTCAATATATCTCATACTGAGCAGATAACCTTGTTATTCGTTTTCTCCTCTCTGAAAAAAAAACTAATTGCTGGCAAATCAAAGAATGAATGTGTTGAAACTTTTGAGAAAAAAGGAGTCGATATAGCTAAGCTTATTACTGAAGTGATTGCAAAGCTATGTTTGGATATTTGAAACTGTCACAGTCAGGTATATGATAATGGATCCAAGATGTCAGACTTGTTAGTCCTTGGCTTTGGGCTTGAATTAAAGCCAAAAATGAACGCCTTGGTCTTAACCTTGAAACTGTTTGCCTTGAAAATTTTTGGCCTTGGCATTTATTGTTTCGGCCTTGGCCTTATTAAAAAATACATAAAATTAAATAATAAAAGGTTTTTATTCTTTATTTTTATGCATTTTTGTTTTCGGCTTTCATATCTACAAGTATATTTACTTATTGACTTCGTTGAATTCTGTGCATAAACTTAATTTATTTTTACAACATGCAATTTTATTGTTTAACAGCAATTATTAATTGTTTAATTGAAATTTCAATTACTTCTCCTGTTCTGAAGCCTTCTTTTTCCCATTTCTCATTGACATTTTAAATTATATTAAATAATAATTTACTTAATATCTAAAATAAATCAATACATATAGATTTATTGTTAAATTTTTTTTTTCTATTATAGTTTAAAAAATATTTAAAAATCTTTTTCAAAATAATTTAAAAATTCTTGTTATAAATAATTAAATAGCATTGTATAAAAAATATCTTAAAAAAAAGTTAAATTAGAAAATTAATATAATTTTCAATATCATTAAAAAAAAAATTTTTCATATACAAAATACAAATAAAATCCAAATTTACCCAATAAATCCAAAATAACCTCAAAAAAACAAAACAACTAGGCCGGGTTTTTTTTGAAAAAACTCTGGTTTTTGCCAACCCTGACCATAGCGCCTCATCTTATGTACAATCAACAATCAAGCATACAATCATACAATCAAGCATACAATCACACATACAAGCATACAATCAAACATACAATCAAGCACAAGCTAGCGTGGCTAACTGTTGATAGGTTTACGGAATATACCCAGTTTTGTTTAATTTAGCTACAACTAAGTCCTACTTATTTATTAAATATTTTAGTTATACCTTGAGCTGCTATTGAGCTACCACTATACTTTAAGTTCACAAAACTTAAAAAATCTAGTCTTGACATTAAAGGAAATTTAAATAAACCAAAGTTCTTTTAAATTAACAAGTATGAAATTTTTTTGAAAATGTCATCTTTTACCATCAACTTCAATTGAAAACAACTGATTCTCCCCTGGTCTCTCCTCAGTCATGATATTGTTTTTTTTACTTTCTCACAAATAAATCTTCCTTTCTTTTTTTTAACAGTTCTTCCAATATGAGATTTAATTGTTTCAACTTGTAGTATTTAACATTTTAAGAAAGCTGAGATGTTTATCATCAATGTTCCAACTCTTAAAAACTTTGATTTTAAAGAAATATTTAATTTTAATTAATTCCATTAGTGAGTTTAAATCTTGTTTACGTTTGCAACGCAGCTATTTTGTCTTTTCCTCATTTATTAAACTCCTAATGCAAAAATTTCAACTCCTAAAATAATTTCTTTTTTTTTGGTTGCATTACTAATCTTATATTCATAACTCTTTTGTCTTTCTGAGCTATTAGTTTCATAGCTAACCCTGTCTTTTAGAGCTATTAGTTTCATAGCTAACCCTGTTTTATGAGCTATTAGTTTCAGGAACAAATAACTAAAGCTAATGATGATTTAGTTGTTGTTTTTTTTGAAATGCAAAACTATATTTTTATTTTTATGGTCGGCAATGCCAATCTTATTGTTGTCCAAAAAGTGTTTGAGGTTGGCAAAAAATTTTGTTGTATGTTTTATGATAACCCCTTTGCATCATATTTTTTTTGCTGACTTCTAACAGTTTAAGGTCAGCAATTTATTGCTGAACTCATTTTTCCTAATGTCGAGGGCTGATAATATAATATTTTTTGATTATACAAAGCTTATATCAAGGTATAAAATCAAACTTCTTAACCCAACAACACTGATTACTCCAATGGATTTTTTAAATAAATAGAAAGATAAAAATTAAATAAGTAACATTTTATCTTTTAAATAAATGGTGAAAAAAATCTTTAAATATAATATAAATTAATTGAAAATAAATATAAAATAATTAAATATAAATAACATTTTATACTTTAAATCAAATTTTTAAAAATTGTTAAATCATTTTATCTTTAAATACTTTATAATCTAATATTGTTTCTTCGTTGACTTTGAATTCTGTGCATAAACTTGATTTATTTTAACATGTAACAGCAATTATTACCTACAGTTTTAATAATAATTGGACTTAATGTACGCCAAAAATTTATATCTGGTTTTGAAAATGTGTGCGTAGGCCTTGTCCTTGAAACTTCTTTTTTTTGAAATTCTCTTTTTTGCTTCAATAGTCAAATACTACTTAAAAAAGAGGCACTTTTATTATGATATTGTTAACAAATGTCTCTTATGCTTTAACTTCTTCAACAACCATGTTGCTCACCCATGAACGCATTACCTAATGAAGATGTCAGTGGTATCAGTGTTGACTGCTTTAAAGCGAAATTTTATTAGCTATCATTATATCTACCATAGCATGGGTTGGCATTAAAAAACTTGCCTAATAAAACCCAATAAAACCTGTCTGTTAAACTAATAAAACCCAGATAATCTGGGTTTTATTGGGTTATTTAAAAGGTATTAAATAACTTTATGAACTATTATAGCCAACATTAACATTATAACTATAATATTGTTAACTAGATTAATTACTAACTATTATTATTAATTATTATTATTATAATATTATTATAATAATATTATTTTAACTATTATTATCAATTATTATAACCAACAAAAACAGCTCTCAGAGCAGATTTACTAATATTTGAATCATTTTTTGGAAACACATTATCACAATTTTTATTCAAATATTTTTATAGATTGAAATTGTTATCTTTTATATTATTCACCTCCCAAGGTGAATTTGAATGAGTAGTAGTGGCCTGAGAAGGTCACTACAGTTGAGAAGGCTGCCTTTTTGTGGTTACAACCCTCTCTCAACTCTTTAACTCCTAAACACAAACCTTTATAAACAAGGCTGCTGTGTGGAGAAAAAAGTTTGTCCATTTGAATTTCAAGTTCAAATTTGTTCAAAGTTTAATTGAAACTTCAATTACTTCTTCCTGTTCTCCAGCCTTCTTTTTCCCATCTCTCATTGACATTTTAAATTATATAAAATAATACTTTACTTAATATCTAAAATAAATTAATACATATAGATTTATTGTTAAAAAATATTAGAATTCCGACCAAGAAAGCACTTATAATTAAGAAAAATTGCCAATAAAAGATAAGAACAGATCATGTTATTAAACTATGATATTCATTTCACCTAAAAAGCGTATTTATTTAAATTCTTTTTCAAATTTGAACAAGCAGTTGTGATTTTAAGAATTCGAGTCTTTGGATTGGATTTTTTTGCTACAAACATTTTTATTTTATGTTATGGCAAAATTTTGATTTTTTTTGTCTTTTTATGATACACAAACCTGATCACTTAATAGAAATATATCATAGTCAGCAAAATGTTATACAGATGAATTATTAAAATCGCTTTGACTACACCGAGAAGAGATACAGAGTTCAATGTAAATATATTTGCTGGGTATATTTTGTATCATATATAAAGAGGCGTGAACTTCCTTTATGCTTTTTTCAATGTTCTGATTTTGTAACTTTCTCATGAGTAACCATTATTTTTTTAATGAAATCACTAAATAATAAAGTCTAGTAATCAGTAGAATAATTAGCCTTTTTATTATTAAAACGTGTCATCTGACCATTTTATATTTGTTTCTTTTAAATGTGAAAAGTTGTGTCGGAAATGTTTATAGCAATCTCAAACAATTTGTATGCAACTCAAAAAAAAAATATGCCTATAAAAAATCCTTAATTAGACTGGTTTTAGGAATTTTCAAGTTCAAAAAACTCAAACAGCTAATATTTTCTAAGGGATTCGCCAGATTAATTTTTATAATATATTTAAATCACAGACATCTTATATAGAAATTAACAAATTTATTTTATAGTTTAGCATATCCAAATGAAATTCATATTTATAAACATAATACCTTCTGTTCGTTGGTTTTCATTATAACTTGTATTATCTTGAAGCCTTTTAAGAAGAGTTGTTTTTCCTTGCTTTGCAAAACCAATAATCATTAATTTCATTGTGTAGTACGGCTCTGCAGATCTCATTAATGCTTTTAAGTAACACATTATTTCTTGTGTACTGTTTAAATTCTTTATAGCCGAAGGACTATAAATCTAAAAATTTAAACTTCATTTTTTTAAAACTTCTTTTTTTGAAAAAAAAAGAAAAACTACAAAATAGTAAAGAAATATTATTTAATTGCAATATTTTATCATAGAAAGTTTGCAATATTAAAATAAACCATTGTTTCATTTTTTATTTGTGAAATATATAAAAAACTGTTACAAAGCAGCTGATATGAAAAAAAATGACAAAAGAAATGCAAATGATGACACTGCTTACATAAAAAACTATAAATCAAAATGGCAACATATGTCTCAGGCCAAAAAACATAAATACATACAAATTGTTTAATGTGACACATATTTCCTGGTAATTGCGAGGTTACACATTAGTTACATATTTGTTAGACAAAAAAACATTTTAAAACCTAATTTAAATTATGGATTTTAGGATCAGTTAATTATTCCAATAGCACTGTTATTTATTTATGTGTGTAAATTTCTAAAAAGCAATTTATTAAAGATATTACACACAACTTTAACAGAATATTAAACTAATATATATTAGTCATTGTAAGCAGATCAAGGCTGTTAAAGTGCAGTGAATCAAAAATAATATTAATATTAATTTGGATTCATATATTCATAGATCATCCAGGCCATATTTTAAAAATCCAGAAAACTGTTTTGGTAAAATATCCAGAAAAAATCAGGAATATATATTCCCTTATTTTCCTCTTAATTTTGCTTTTAGCTGAGTTGTTTCAAATTTTTTTACCAAATTCTTTTTAAATTTTGTTTTAAATTTTGAGTTTAAGTGAAAAAGCTTAAAAAATAAATATATTACAAAAATATACACCTAAACTTGTATGGAAAATGTCTGGGATATCCGATAATTATTAAAAACTAAAGATTGAGAAAAATATCTAGAACTCTGGAAAATAATAATCCCTGTATAATGGATATGTGGTTTAGTAGAAAGTTGTAACAACAGTTGAAATTTGTTAGGAGTTAATGTAGTCTTTGTTTTTATTAGAGTTTTCAAATTTAGCCTCTAGATGTTTTTTGAATTTTAACTGTATTTAAATTACCAAGTTTATAAATTCCATTTAAAAAATTGAATTTTGAATTGAATTGACTCTAACTCTTGTTTCAAGAGCTAATAAACCTTATAACTTGAATCTTGTACTGAAATCATGGCGTCTGAGAAATGGCAAAAGAAACTTTTTATGTTAATTCACCTCCCCAAGGCTGAGAAGGTCAACTACAGTCAAGGAGGTTGCTTTAGTTGTGGATCCACTCTCTCAACTTTATATCTTCAAAACACGAACCTTGTCAAACAAGGCTGCTGTTGGAAGAAACAAGTTGAGCACAGAAACAAGTTGCGTGATTAAAGGTTCATTTGGGCAGGGATGCGGAATCCTAAAAAAAACTTTTTTTTTATGGCAGATAATAACTCACTCAATATTTTTGAATAGTAAAAAAAGAGATTTAAAGTTGGATTCTTTTTGGGACACAGCTTTTGAGACTACTTAAAATGATAAAAATGTCCTAAAACTGCATTTAATAAATAAAAAACTTGTTTTAAAATTATATTGAAAACTTTAAATGAGCTTTGTCTATAGACTTTAAATTATTCATAACAAAAGTATTTATAACAAAAAGCAAAATAAAAATTGAAAAAATTGAAACAACTGATTAATCAGCTCATATTAGAACCATATCAGCATATTGAAAAATAAAACTATAATATAATAAGGGAAAATCTGTGATAAAAAAAATCATCATTCCATATCATGAATATACACTGATTTAGAACTTAAAATAAGTGTAAAACCAAGCTAAATATTTTTGCTAAAACTTACTATTTTTATTTTAGGGAAATTGCACAGCACATTTTTTAGATCATAAAAACATTAAATAAACATTTACCTTTAATCCTGTAATATTAAGATTGGTAAGATTGGACAACTTTCCCATTTGCAAAGGTAAAACATGGATGTTAACATTGCCATTAATATGCAATGTTTCTAGATGCATCAGGTTACATATACCTGGAGGTATACAATTGAATTTATTATGTGAAATATAAAGATTTTTTATTGGAACTTGATCAGCATTTGATGGAAAACTCTTCAATAAATTATTTTCAAGAGATAATGTTGTAAGGTATGGTGACCATTCCTTAACATTAGGGAGATAAACCAACTCATTAGATGATAAGTTTAAATTACGTAACTTTGGAAGCTTAAACAGTTCTGGGGGAACATTTTTCAAGTTATTTGAACTAAGATTCAACTTTTCAACATTTCTAAGATATATGGTAATATTACTTGGTACTATACTTTCAATGCAGTTAGAGGAAAGTATTACATTTTTATACATTTCTTTCATGCATTCTTTTTGCCAACCTTCATAAAAACAAGGTAATGAAAGTTCTTTCCAATCAGCCACAAGTTTTTTTTTGTCACAAAAAATGTTAGATAATATAACTTTAACACCATCATAATTTTTCACAGAAGGTCTACACCCAATCTTTACTGGGTACACAAAATAATCTTTAATTTCAACCACAAAAGATCTTTAAAAAATATATATTTCTAAATTTTAAGTCAGTTTTTAGGTTAATTGCAACAAAATGTATTAGAAAAATTATATTAATTAGTTAAATGTTTGCACGGATGCACAGTCACAACTGTTTTAATAATGTGACAATTTTATGCTTAACTGTATAAACATGGGAAGCAAAAAATACTATAAAACATTTCAATATTGTGGAAAAAATGTCAAAATTATGATGAGTTTTAAAAACACTAAAGAAGTATGAGCAAAACATCAATGCAAAAAAAGAGGACTATGAGACTTTGCATGCCTGCTCATTTTTTGATTTAAATTAAAAAAATTTATTTAAGAATTACCTTAACCGAAACAATAAATCAGTTGAAATTTGTATATCATATTTTAAATATTGATTTTTGTCCAACTCAGTTTTTTCCAAATATTTCTTCTTACAAATTAATTTTATTATACCATTGTAGTGCTTTTCAACAGCATAACATAAGAGCAATAAAAGAGTACCTTTAAAACTGCACTTTATTTGAAGAGCATAATTTAAAATTTCCTCAACATTACAAGGTTTGTTAAGCATTAACAGACCTATGGCAGCACAATCGTCTTTTAAAATAGCAACTTTTAAACACTTTTCAAAATGGTCCAAAGTATATTCTTCTTGTTTTAAAGACTTATGACTAATTAAACCTTTATTTCCATATAGCTTTAGACTATTTAACATGTCTATTGAAAACAAAAACATAATTTAATTTTAATATTTATTATCATTATCAAATAACCTTATAAAAATAATACAAATATATTTTAAAATACTAATATGTTATATCAAATTTTTTATTTCTTTATTTACAAAAGTTTTATTTTTTTATAAATAAAATTTGCTTTTACTGCAAACAAAAAAAAAATCTAAAATAATAATAAATTATTTGTTAACTTCTGGAATCATAAGTGTGATATTTATTATATATATATATATATATATATATATATATATATATATATATATATATATATATATATATATATATATATATATATATATATATATATATATATATATATTATTCTATTTAATACTTATATAATATTAAGTTCTTAAAACAAAGAAATTAAACAATACATTATATTATTTAAATGTATTTATTATGTAATAAAAGTAATGTGTAAAGTTAAAAATATTTATTTTAAAGCTTTTCAAAAATAAAAATGTGCAGTAAACTGAATAGTAGATTAAGAGTGTTTATATAATAAACTAAATTATAACACATATTCAAAACGAATTAAATTTATCTTTTTATTTACCAGTATTTATATAAATTTAATCTGACTTTTTTTAGGAAACAATAACATATTATATAGCAATAACATATGTATAACACATAACATAAAAAAATCAAATATTATCAATAAATCAAGTTAAGAAAATTTAAGGTAATTGCGTAGAAAATTTAACAGGCATTACTTGAAATTTAACTTTAATCACGGATTTAGCAGGAAAAAGGTATTTTCTCAAGACTTGAGACTACACCTTTAAGAAATTCTCTAAATAACAGCACTATATTAATTGTCTTATAAGTTTCGTTACTTTTAATTTCAATTAAATTAATAATGTGTCATTAAATTTAAAGCCACTAACAAGTATTTTTTTCAAATTGAGACTAAGCCAACAAATAAATGATAAAAATGTTATTAACATGTGTTGTACATGTACATAGTATTGCACGTGCTACTTAGAATGCAACAAAAAAAAAAGTTTAAAAAAACTTTATATGACATTATTTTTAAAGATTTTAATAATTTTAAAAAATAAAGATTATAATAATTTTAAAAATTCTAAAAGCGAAAATTGAAAATGAAACTAAATTTTTTTTTTTAATTTTACTTTTTATAAGAATTAACTCTAATTTTTAGCGTAAGAGATTTTTGCTACTTGTTTGTTGTTGTTTTTTGAACAATTATTGTAATTCTTTATTTAAGATTCTTAATTCAATTTTGTAAATTTAAACAATTGTGTAAACACAAAATTTGAAGTCAAATTTTATAAACAATATAGAACGGAATGTTGTCATAGTGAACCTGGAGTTTCCCCTCGTTGAAAATGATATTTTCAAATACAGGGTTTCTCACCTCATTTCGACATTGTATCACTACATTTCGACACTTTTGCATTCAATTTCGACACTGTTGCATAACATTTCGACAATTTAAAAACACTCTATTTTGAATTAAAGTATTTAAATTTATGATGAAAATTTTTATTAAATAATAATGGGTTGAATTTAATCGGGACAGTAAAATAATTAATGTGGCTATTTTTTTAATTCTGCATTATTTAAAGTGGGTACTGACATCATGAATATGGTTTCATTTTTTTTTTTGGATACACGTAAAATATATAGGTAAAATAAACAATGTGGATATTAATTACTTCAAGTTACCATATTAGTAATTTTTAATTGCCATACTCATTATTTTTATTGCCGGATAAATTATGTCCAGTTGCCAAAAAAATATATATACGCTTTGGAACAATACATAATTAAATTGTCATCAAACTATAAATTAATGTTATAATTTTTTATTAAGTAAATAAAAGCATTTGTCTCTTCAATACAACAAGAGTTCATAATAAAAGCTTAAATATCATTTTCAATATTTATAAACAGCAATACCGAATCAAACAACCAACAATGAAAACCGTTCAAGGATAATTGAATCTTACTTAAATGGAAACTCACCATCAGAAATTACAGATATTCTTGGATTTAAACGAACTACAATCTATTCGATTATTAAAAAATATAAAAATGGTTTGCCGATAGAACGGCAATTAAAAGGTGGTTCTAGAAACAAAAAATTAACAGAAGAATCCAAGGTACTAATCAAAAATTGAATTGATGATAATTGTGGAATAACTCTTAAGGAAATTGAACAAAAACTTTTTGAACAAAAATCCATTTCAGTCAGTCAATCTACTATAGCAAGATGCATTGATAGTTTTAATTATACTTTGAAACGTGTTCACAATATTCCAGAGAGAAGAAATTTGGAAGTCGTTATTAAAGAAAGAGCTTCTTATGCAGAAAGATTCATGAACATTTTGTCTTCTATGAATGACAATAAAATATTCTTTATTGATGAAGTAGGATTTAGTCTTTCAATGCGAGTTAGAAGAGGACGTTCTTTAGCTGGAAAGAGGGCCACACAAACAGTGACCAATATATGGTCAAGAAATATTTCCGTCTGTTGTGCAATGAACAAAAATGGAATTTTGAAATATGAAGCACAAATAAAAGCATTTAATACAGAAAGTTTTTTAGATTTTTTTCGTTTAGTATTAGCACAATTAGCTGTTAATGAAGTTGTTGGAGCTATCTTAATTTTAGACAATGTTCGTTTTCATAAAACTGCTATTGTTCATAATGAAATAGTACGTGCTGGGCATTCTTTGATATTTTTACCTCCATATTCCCCCTTTTTAAACCCTATTGAAAATATGTTTTCTGAAAGGAAACAGTTTATCAAAAGATGTTCGTCTAGGACTGAGGAGGAACTGCTTGAAAATATACAAAACGGTGCATTGAATATTACTAGCACAAACTGTAATAATTATTTTGCGCACGTACTGAGGTATATGATTCCGTGTTCAAGAAGAGAACCAGTTGTTGAAGAAAAAACTTACTTTTGTAATTTTTATTTTTATTAGCAATTTTCATTTGCAGTTACAATTCTTTTTATACGATAACTATTTTGTTTAGATTTTAGTTTGTATCCAAATTAAAAAAACTTTTTATCTAAATGAATTTAGAAAGAATCTAACTGCTTTATTTGTATATTAATTTAAGTATTATTAGCGCTGTCGAAATTGAATGCAAAACAGTCGAAATCAAATGCAACGGTGTCGAAATTGAATGAAACATTGTCGAAATGTACTAATGCAATGTCAAAATTGAATGATACGTTGTCGAAATGAAGTGGGAAACCCTGTAAAATAAAGATTACAGGCGTATTTTCTGATGTTTGAGATATTTAACTTCCAGACATGGAGCAACCTCCAAAAATTTATATGTTTATACTTATATCGAATAATGATGCTTTGCAAAAAATTGCGATGATAGGAGCCTGGGAACAAAAAAGCCCTAAAATTTCAGCTACACCTGCCCCAAACGTGAGAGCTACAAGTTCATAAAGTATTTTTTCTACTATTCTCAACCAAGTATATATTCATCAATAAATTTGAAAACTTACACAATCTTTTAGCGTTCAACAATTATGGCCTTATAAAATTTGCAGCCCCCTCAAACTGAGGGGGGTTTAAACTTTTTTATGGTCATAGTTTTTGAATGCTGAAAGATAATTGTGGGAATTTTAAAATTTATCGATGAATTTTATTTAGATTTAGTTAAGAATAGTATAATAATTATTTTATCAACTTGTTGCTCTCTCGTTTGGGGCAGGTGTAGCTTAAATTTTAGGGTTTTTTTGTTCCCGTATATATAGACAGGTGTTTAATAGTCGATATTGTTTTTGTTGCTCTTTGTTGGACTTGCTCGAGAATGGCAATGTCTGATTTTAAATGCGGTGACTAGGGAGCTTATTCACAACTTTTCCGTAACTCTTGCGTAGCTGAGCAAAAGTTATGAGTAACTTACACAAACTATTTTTTGCGTAACTATTTGGTATTCCGAGCGTTTGTGTAAAGTTAAGGTTGCGCATGAGTTACGCAAAACTTACGCAAAAACTTACGTAAATATTCTAAAACTATTTGTATAAAATAAGTAGTTAGTATTACTAACTACTTATTTCATATTTTCAAATTTTTGTTTTGATAGGTATCTACTAAAATTATATATATATATATATATATATATATATATATATATATATATATATATATATATATATATATATATATATATATATAGTTATATAATTATATATAACTAAGAACGTTATATATAAATTATATACAACTAAGAACGTATATTTCCAAGAAGATGAGATGGAGAATTAAGGAAATAAACGATTGAGAGAGAGAGATGTTTCTAGTAATTTTTTCCTTATTTGGGGAAATACACGTACTTAGTTTAAATTTTAAATGTTTCTTTAACTAATTTCTTGATTAATTAAATTAATATAGTATTCTATTTACTCAGCAAATGATCTAATAAGGAAATAAATAAAAATTATAAATGTACATATTAATTTTTAATGCCTTCACTGATTTCTATAAAATATCTGCAGACATTGTTAACAAAATTAAGTTCTTTAAAGTTGCATAAGTAATAAATAAATATTGCTGCTTAGAAGTAGGTTTTTATTTTTATTAACTCTTTTTTTCTACTAAATATTTTACTAATCATTATTAATATTAGTAGTAGTATTTATGTTAAATGGTACAAAAAAGTAGTTTAGTGCTTCAATTTATGTATGGCGTTTTATTTATTTGTTTTATTATGGCATTATGATAAATATGTTGATGCTAAAATTTTTTGAGAAATTATTTACTCCAGTGTCAGAAATCAAGAAAGATTTTTAAAAAAAGAGCTGAAAATTGGGCGCTTGAGCAGATAAGACATTTGGTAAAGCTGTATAACGAAAATAAGAGATTGTTTGATGGAAAATTTTCTCCTTGTAAAACAGATTTATTTTAGATATATATTATCTAATAATGATAAAACATTTTTAATGTTAATAGAAAATTTCAATTATTTTTAGCAATCTCAAAACT